ATTGATTGATTGATTGGGGTGGGCAGCAAAGCAAGGTTTATTGAGTGACAGCAAAGTGATAGTACAAAGCTCCTGAGGAGGGAGGAGACCCAAGAGGGTTGCCCTTTTTTTTTTAATGATTTTTTTTCACTGCTTCCAGGGAATGGGTTTGCAATTATATTTATTTAGTGACACATGACTAACTAGAATCTTGTGGTTTGTTTTATTTTGCTAGTGATGATGGCCAAAGAGAAGCCACCGATAACCGTAGTTGGAGATGTTGGCGGGCGCATCGCAATCATAGTGGTACGGTCATGTGTCATCCTTCGTGTGCACAGATGACACCACTGGCTCTTCGTAGGTTGTCCACTTTGGGATTATATTTCTAGTAAAGATGATGGAGTTAAATGGATCCATCTATCCTTTCTCACCCAAACTCCTTTAGGACAAGTAGAAATTTTTAGGTAGTTGAACAGGGATTATTATAACCTACAGATGTAAAAAGAGCATAGGATCTGCTATAAGAAAATCCCAACCCCAGTAAATAACCTTTGTCTTAAGGGGTCTGGGTTCCACCAGAGCAGCTGACCTACCCTACTCAGCCTTCAGCTTTAGGGTCACGTGAGGAACTAAAGATGAGCGGTTCCATTTTCACTAATGAGAACAAGTGTCCCATTCTTCGTGCTTCAGCAGGATCTGTTTGCTCCCCGCTCTGAATGCCTTTGCCGGGCCTGATTACAATGGTTTGCTTTATTTCTGTGTTCTTGTCATCTCACTTTGTCTTGAAAAAAAGTAAATGGGACACCAGCTATGTCGGATTAATCAGAAGTGTGCAACAGGGAAATGAGTCTTGGCAGTCTGGAACTCTAGCTGTGCATGTCACAGGTGACTGCCAGGCTTTGCTGCTCTTTGTACTGACAGCCATGCAGAGCATGGTCCACACGGTTGTTGCCCCTGCCCGATGTTGTCTTGGGCCCAGGCAGGTGGCTCTGGTCTCCAGTTGGAGATCCTCTGAAACAAAGTGCAGAGAAGAGCAAAGAGGAGTGTGTTTATAGAGATAGAGGGTAGCTCCTTACTACTCACTCTGGCCTCTCCTCAGGATGACATTATTGATGATGTGGAAAGTTTTGTTGCTGCTGCAGAGATCCTGAAAGAGAGAGGTGCTTACAAGATCTACGTCATGGCCACTCATGGCATCCTGTCTGCGGAGGCCCCCCGCCTGATCGAGGAGTCCTCCATTGATGAGGTCTGTCTGCACTTAATGGGCCTAGAATTTACTGCTCTCTTTTCTGTGAATAGTAAAATGATTCCATCAATGTTGCTTAACCCCTCTCCAGAGGACCTCTGAAGTAGTGCCCTTGGTGGCTAGCAGTGTGTTGGGACAGATGTATAGTTAGGAATAGATGTCTGTTGTCATAAAGGTTCGCTTTATGTACTTCAGCATGGTTCGTATCTCAGTATAGTTTGGTACCGTGGTACCATTTCTCTCAAGACTTGGATTCTTCCTGTTCTGCGCGGTGCCGGGCCTCACCCTACCATTTCTGCATAAGTAGACCATGACCTTCGTAATCTTATGTTTTGAACCATGTAACCTTTTTCTTATATAAGGTCAGTTCAGTTTGGTCTGTAAAAACTATACTCCGTGGAATAAGGTTTTGTAGTTTGGAACCTGGGCTGTGGGAACTAAATGTGGGACAGACTTTTCTGGGTGACCACGCTGGGGACACATCAGTAACAGTGCTTATCTTCCACTGCTGCAATGACTAGGTGGTGGTGACGAACACTGTCCCTCACGAGGTGCAGAAGCTGCAGTGTCCCAAGATAAAGACTGTGGATATCAGTCTGATTCTTTCTGAAGCAATTCGGAGAATCCACAATGGGGAGTCCATGGCGTACCTTTTCCGAAACATCACTGTGGATGACTAGCTGTCACCGTTGCCTTGACCGTGGAACTCCTGAGGAAAACGTGTGGGGAGCAGTGCCATCAACTTATGTACGCAGTGTTTCCTCTCAAGGGAGGCCTGGAAATAGCCTGAAGTCAGATAGTCTGTCTCACCAAGTTGGTAGGTAGGAGGCATTAAGATAGTCAAGGGGAAGACAGAGCTGATGGATAAATGGCCTTACATATCTGCCATCGCCATCCTGTTCCTTAAACAAAAGTTACAAACGCTTTCCTGAAAAGAATGCCCAAATTTTGTTGATACTGAAAATAAGGAGTTAAAGGCAGATAGTCTTAGCCCTGTAACATTCGGGTATTTCTACCGCAGGGAAATGTGTGTCAGCGTTGAACTTGGTTAGGGAAGCTGAGTGCCCTGGTACTGTTTCCATTCTGGTTGTCCTCTCCCCCGTCAGCCTCACGTAAGTCTTTGTAGGAAACCCTCTTTTTCTTTGAGAAGCTGCTGTGCCTACAGCCACTGAACAACAAAGCCTTTGTGGCATTACCTCAGCGAGGAGGTCAGATTAGAGCAGCACCCTATCTCTGGACACCTGCGTTGCTCTTCAATGGCAAATAAAAGAATTTGTTGTCTTGTAAGTCTGTTCGCTACCTTGCAGAACTGCCCGCTCTCCTGCCTTAGGGGTGTCTGACTTCTGCCCAGACAGTGCAGAAGACAACAGGTACAAAATAAAGGGTGTTCCAGGTCCGTGGCTGGTCCCAAACCCTGGACAGGAGTCTCCATCTGTAGGTTCCATCCCCTTCCTAAACATCGAAGTCAAATCCTTGTTGGAATAATGGATTTAAAAAATCTAAATTTTTAAAAAACGGAACAAATTATACTTTTTCCTGTGTGATGGGTGACAATGTTAGGCATTGTTCAGGACTGCACCTGACCTTTCTGCCCAGCAATGAAAATTACTCTAGTTTATAGCACATTTGTCGGGTAGGCCTTTTAAACCTTCAGCCTGCTCTGGGCAGGACTGGATGTAATGGGAAGGAGCAGAGCCTGTCTGTTGGGCCATGAGCTGGAATTGGTTCTGTTCCTGAGGGATAGTAAAGGACAATTCGATTCTTTGTACAATTATATTTCTCTGCAGGGATGTTTCCTTGACATTTTTACCCCTTTCCTAATGACTTGAAAAGTTCCCAAGCCACAATCAAGACTTTGAGCACATTAGCTTTTTCAAGCACACAAGTTGCCTTCTGTTAATAGTCCAAGTAGGGGCATTTTGAACAAGAACTTAATTATCAGATAGCATGGTGGTGGAGGAAGAGCTGTGGACTATTACTCAGGAGACCTAGTTCTTATTCGTATGGCCAGGCAGATGACTAGTCCTTTCTGGACCTCTCATCAGATATAAAAAGGGAGGTTTGGAACTGACAGCTGAGGGAGGTCTTTTCAACTCCAAAATTGCATTTATACATCCAGTTAATGTTTATTTTCCTGCACCTATAAGAACAGAGGTGTTTCTATGTACTTATTTAGTAGAATATATTTCCTGGGATTAGAATGAGAATATATTCAGATAAACCCTTTCCATGGGCACTTAGTGGGTCCTAATATGTGCCTGGCATGATGCCAGGTCTCAGGCGTATGCAGATGAGGTCGTGAGGATTCCGGGAGTTAAGATTCTGGCCCGAGCTAGCACAGTAGTAGCAGGGTAACATTGAACTTAGAATCAAGAAGATCACTTTCCACACCCTCTAGGACCGTGGATGCCCCACTACAAGGCTTTAACTTTGTGATCCAGCCTTTTGTTTTATGGGGTAAAAGCCTAAGTGCACAAAGCTGCAGAGAATTTGTTCTTTTGATGGTATCAGCAAGCACATGAAGGCCCCACTGAGTGTCAGGCGCTGGAACTATGATGGTGAACAAAAATCCTCAGGTGTTAACCTTCCTGGAGGTTCTAGACTGATGTTTTAACTCCACTCCCAGGCAACACTTGGGGATGAGGGGCATGAAGGGTTTCCATTACATTTTATCAGCCCAGACTAAAAGTTTGAATTTGAGAAGTAGTTAAAATAGGAGTACATGGTACAGATTTTTGCGCAGGTTGTCCTTAGCTTTCCTGAATGTAAACACTGACATTTTACATTTTCTGGAAGAAGTCTGGTGTGGGGAAGTTAAGCCCCAATTGCTGAGAGCACCAAATTCCTCTAGTCTTGTCTAATCCTGCCTTGGGATGAGCTGAAATGCTGGCACCTGACCAGAGGAGTCTGTTTTGAGATAAACTAGGCCAGGGTGGCACAGTGAAGGTCTGTCATCTGGTGGCGGGTTGGAGCTGCCTGGGTGGTGAGTGGTCTTTTCCAAGTTACCCTCCTTTCTGACGAAGCAAAATGAGATGGGAACTGTCCCCAAAAGGCCGAGGTCTCAGGACTGCATCCCTTAGATACATGTGCCACTGCCCTAAATAATGGAACAGGCTAAGGACACACACGGTGTCTCTTAAATGTCCTGTTCTTAGTGGCTGAATGAATGGGAGGCCTTCCTAGGTTAAGGGACGCCTTCCCTCCCCAAACTGCTGTGTTCCCATAGCAGTGCCTTGACAGCCCCACAGCCCCTTTAGGAGCGATAACTGATAGTAACAACTCGTGGTGCCTTGGGGTATGGCCAAGGCTTCCCCAGACCCCGCTAGGATGGGCTCCCCTTGCGAGTTGGGGGGGTGGCTTTGCGTATGGGCAGGTCCCGCACCGCGCCGTGGCCAGCTAGACGGCGCCAGTTCTTTCGCAGAACCCTTGGGGGCGCGCGGGGGCCAGCACCACCTGGCAGCGAACGGGGCCGTCCCTCCCGTTCCAAACGTCCGCTGGCCGCGACCCGGCGCGAGGGGAGGGCGGCCCAGGGCTGGAGCTCGGAGACTGGACGGCGGAGGGTAGGCGGGTGTCGGGACCCCGCCGGGGAGGCGGGCGCGGGTCCCCAGGAGCAGAGGGTGGGAAGCCCGGCGGCCGGGCGCTTCCCCTCCGTCCTCCAGGCGGGCGGCAGACAGTGACTGGAGCCCCGGAGAGCGCCCAGGGGCGCGGGGGGCAGTGAGGGGGACATGGCCGCCCGGCCGGCCGAGTGTGCGGACCGCTGCTGAGAGGGCGCACGATGCCGCCCGCGACGGCGGCCACCACTATGGTCTCCCTCCGGGAGCTGGCCGACCTGGCCATCGGCACCCCGGAGGTGGGCGCCGTCAACTTCACGGCCCTGCACACGCTCATCGTGGCCATGCTCCGGAGCCTCAGCCTGCAGGAGGTGCGCATCGACTTCCAGTCGCCGTTGCCGTCGCCGGAGCCGAGCCGCCCCTTGGAGCCCCCGCAGGCCGTGCTCAGCGCCCCGCAGCTGGCTGTGTCCAAAGAGAAGCCGCGCGGAAGCTTGGCCAAGCCACCGACGGCGGCGGCGGCGCTGGAGAGCCAGGTGAAGGGCCTGGGCGGGCAGGTGCAGGACCTCAGCAGGCAGCTCAAGACCGTCACGAACCAGGTGCAGGGCATCGTGAGCCACGTGCAGCACCTGACGGCCCCCATCAGCGAGCTGGGCGCCCGGGACTGGCTGGAGGAGGAGACGGCCAAGCTGACGCCGGCAAGGGCACGAGCAGGGTCGTTGGAAATCGCGAAGGGCGAGCGGGCCACCGTCTCCCAGGTGAGTGCGGAGCGGGGGGGGGGGGGGGGCGGGGGGGGCGGAGCCCACAGGCCGCTCCCCGGGGGCGGGAAGGGAGGCGGCGGGAGCAGGGAGGCGCGGGTGTGGTGGGGGTGCGCCAGGCCTCGGAACGGCCCCGTGTCCACCTTGCAGGCCATGGAGCTGCTGCACGATGTAGTGGAGGACGTGAAAACTCTCAAAGAGGCCCAGGAAAAGGCGCAGGAGCTCCCTGAGTCGAGCCTTGCGGTGAGGGACGGCGGGGACCCCACGTCGCGGATCGCGGAGGCGCCCCCTTCCCATGCAGTGCCTGTCCTCGCCATTCAGCTGCCCCTTCTCAGACCCCAGCCACACCTTCACTTGGATCTTTGTTTTCTTGGAGAAAGAAGTAGAACCCCCTTCAGATGAACAGTAGGGCCCAAAGCATTAGGCAGTGCTCTTAGTTCAGGCCTCCAGAAGCCATCCCGGGGCTTAGCGCCGGAAGGAGGAGGAGGGGCAGTTAGGAAGAAGCCCCGCGAGAGGCTGAGGGAGGCCACGGGGGCCCCTGCCTCGGTTCTGCCCCTCATCCCAAGCCTTGAGCCCCAAGCGGGACTCACCTCTGCCCTGGGAAGCTTTTCTTTTCGAAGTGTGGTGTTTTTAGATTTTTTTTTTTTTTTTTACCAAGTGCTTGTTTTACCTCTAGATTCCTACTTTCCGGAGGTTTGCATAAGTCATATGGAACAACTTAAGTTTTAGCAATTTGTTTTGGTTCTTTTTTTTTTTTAAAAGATGTTATTTATTTGTTTATTTATGAGAGAGAGTGCCCGCGCGCGAGCAGGGGAAGCAGCATACTCCCCGCTGAGCAAGGAGCCGGATGTGGGACTCGATCCTAGGACCCTGGGATCATGACCCCAGCCAAAGGCAGATGCTTAACCGCTTAACCGACTGAGCCATGTGGGTGGCCATTGTTTTGGTTCTTTTGGGATGCTTTTCTCTTTAAACCACACAGCCATTCAGACATCCCTGAAGGACCTGATCATTTTTGTCCTTGAGAGGCGAGGTCAGCCTCATTCTGTAGTGCCAGAATGTTTCGGTCATGGGTAGGATGAAGTGAATCCCAGGAGCAAAGGTTCCCACCCTTGGGTTAGCATTTGCTCTTGGCACACTGTCCCCCACCACACACCTCACTTTCCTGCCTCTTGTTGGCTGGAAAGAAAACAATTTAGCTGACTTAGCAGCTCTCTACTCCCTGCTCCTGTAAGATCCACACACCTCCTTTCTTCTTCTCCCTTGTGAGTGCATGTATGTGTGTGTGCGTGTGTGGGTGTGTATATATGTGTAGGGGCCACAGGAGGGGCTGTTTTGATCCTCCATCTCTGAACTTTTCTTCCAGAAAGCCCTCCAACGGATTGATGTACTAGAGAAGATAGTCAGAGAACGGGATGAAATCCTGGTAATATGGGCGAGTTCTGTAACAGAGGGCCCTCAAGCAGGCAGTAGGGGAGGATGTCCAGACTCCCACCCCAGATGTCTGTGTCCCTCCAAAGTTGGGTGAGGCTCTCTGTCCCTCTGGGCACTGCCCCTGGATTGAGGGGAAATCCTTTCCATCCCTGCCCAGTGTCCCACCAGGGGCCCACAAAGGACGGGAAACTGGCTGCCCAAATCTCACTGGTCATTTGAAGGACAGTGACTTCTCCTCAGGACTAGGGCTGTGGATTCTGTTAGCTCAGTTCTGTTCCTAAAGCTTTCTGGGATTAAACTTGGGGGGTGTGTCTGTCTGTCTGTCTGCCTGCCTGCCTGCCTGCATGTTGTCTATTACTATCAGGACCTAGTGAACCGGAAGATGAGTTTGATGCCTGTCGGAGAAGAAGTCACCATGGTCACCTGGGAGGAGCTGGAGCAAGCGATTACGGATGGCTGGAAGGCCTCACAAGGGGTGAACAAATTGGGGACCTGGGCGCTGGTTTCGGGTGGGGCTCGCCTGGACCTCTCCCTCTTTGCTACTGCACAGTATTCCATTATGTAGATGTTCGTAATTTCATGCTTCCTATTGTGGATGTTTTAAGTGTTTTTTCCAGTCTTAAAACAAACCATGCTCCAATGTGACATTCACGTGTGCAAACATATTCATAGGGTACATTCCTAGAAATGGAATGCAGGTTTATGATTCGGCTCACTTTTGCCAAACTGTCTTCCACAGATGTGGTTCTTTTTTTTTTTTTTTAAGATTTTATTTATTTATTTGACAGAGAGAGAGAGAGCGAGAGAGGGAACACAAGCAGGGGGAGTGGGAGAGGGAGAAGCAGGCTTCCCGCGGAGCAGAGAGCCTGATGCGGGGCTCGATCCCAGGACCCTGGGATCATGACCTGGGCCAAAGGCAGACGCTTAACGACTGAGCCACCCAGGCGCCCCCACAGATATGGTTCTAATTTAGACCCTCCCCAACAACGTGGGAGAGAACATGTTTCTCGAGTCCCCACCAGCACTGCCTGTCTGTACCCAGTTTTTTCCAATTGGATGGAAAACGGTACCTGAATGAAGTTTTTATTTGCTTTTGTAGCTTTTCAAAGTTCCTTTACAGTCTGGTCTGAAATGCCTGAGTCCCTTTATGCTTAGTGGACAGAGATGACCAACTTGGAAATAAAATGTCGTTAGGGGGCCCTGTGTTGATGACTTTGACACACGAGTGTATGCACGCATCTGTCCGTCCCAAGGCAGTGCACAGGATAACTAAATCATTTTTATTATTTTTTAAGATTTTATTTATGTATTTGTGAGAGGGAGGGAGAGAGAGAGAGTACGAGCACGAGCCGGGGGGAAGGGCAGGGAGAAGCAGACTCCCCGCTGAGCAAGGAGCCTGATGCAGCGCTCGATCCCAGGACCCCAGGATCATGACCTGAACCAAAGGCAGACGCTTATGACAGAGCCACCAAGTGCCCTCCAAATCATTTTCAGATCCCCACCCTTTCTCTATCTGAATAAAATGGGTATTATCAAATGGCCCTCGAGGACGAGGATCAGCTGCCCTTTTGGTCTGGATATTACCCCTCTGGCTTTGGGCCTCTGGGTTACTCAAAAAGTGTCACCCCCCAAGACCCACACCAACAGGGGGAAGAGAGTGGACCTTTTGGCGCCACCAAGTGGCCATCTGGGGCACGTCAAATATCACGTGGATACAAAAGACACCCTGCTAGTCTCCAAGATTGCTTTTTGAATGGGGCGCGGGGGGCGGGGGCGTCTTCAGAGGAAAGCAGCATCAGAAGGACCCTGCAAGCAAAAGGAATGGCCTAGAAAAAGGTTGCCTCTGCTTTCGCTGTTTTTTTTTTTTTCTTTTTAAGCCAAAGCTCTTTACACATAGCGGTATCATGTTTTGAGTGAACTACACATTTTTTTAGGGTGCCGGCAGGAAACCTGCCAGACCTAGAAATAAGCACGACAGAAGCCCCTTTAGACACTTTCACTTCTCCAGAGACTCCAGAGATAAGAAAGCGTCTGTTTTTTGACAGTTGCTCAGAATCGTCAACAGCCCCAGGAGCAAAGGAGAATAAATATAAATATTAAAAGATTCTTCAGAAGCAAGAGAACAAGCTCTGGCAATGACAAGTTCAGCCGCGGCACAGACCATCATGACCGCGGTGGAGAGTCCCACCGTCTGGAGCTGAGAAGAAAACACAACAAACACGCTTGGAGACCAATGTTTCTGGCCCTGTTGGTGGGACCCTTTACCATAAATATGAGATTAGGATTTCGAGACTCGGCGTTTTTAAGATCCGCCGTGTGTTTTGGCAGAGGGGTGGTAGCTCTCAGGCAATGGAGAGATGCACCATCTGCCCACGTCGTGAGTCGAGGGTCAGGGCGGAAGCTGGGACGGCGAGTCCGGGGTCATCAGCACAGAGGAGTAAATCCCGCCTCTGGAACGCTGGGCATGGGAAGGGCCTTGTGTTTCTACCTGGAGGAGGAAGGCCGCAAGCACACACGGAGCAGCCGCAGTTCCAGGAGCTCAGAACCGAGGTGGAAGATGCCCATCCCAGGACGTGAGCGCACGCGAGGACACAGACCAGTGCTTTCCAAGCGTGGATCCTGATGAGCAGCAGGGCATTCTCCACAACTTTGCTCATGCGTGCAAAGATGACCCTGATGCTTCCCCGTCTGCCTCCCCTCCCCCTCCACGTGCTACTGCTAAGGGTCAGGAAAAATGAAAGGCAACACCATAACCAGGAAGAGCCAACCAACCCTAGTGTGCTAATCAAAACTTGCTTAAGGGACAAAAGAGCTGCTTCACTTTCCCGTCATCAAGGTGATGCATCTGAGTCTCCAGCTAGAGCCGTGGTGATGGGCATAACAATGGAAGAATCAGTGACCATTTCACCAGGTCCACACACCTTGAGCACGGATGATCTCTTGCAGAAATAGCATGTCCGAGTTAAAGGGCATTTTCTCTTCCAAAGCCTTGTGGCCTCTACTTTATAAAGTAGCCAAAATTAAAACTTATTTTCAGGATTCCACTGAGGGCAGGTGATCCCCTGTTCAGCTGTGATCACCATTTAGATATCTTGGGCTTTGGAACCCAAAGAACAGTGGAGCAAGTTAGGAAGGGGCCTCACAAGAGTCACCCTACTTCCATCTGCCTGGCCACCCCATGGCACATCCCCAGGGAAATAGAAATAAACATTTTATGATGTCTTGGGGTCATGGAAATAGCAGGTTCCATGCTTGGGGGGATCTCATTTAAGGCAGGAAAGATAGAAAGCTCCAGCTCAGGAGGAAGCGCCAGATCCATCCTGTGTAGAGGAGCTCATCCTACATTCTCATTGTTCAGATCACAACCTAACAGGTTCGCAGGAAAGGAGGGGCTTAATTGTACTTTGACTCAGAATAAACCCATTGATTCAAAGGTGCATATTTCCCCTCACATTGTATTGTTTTTCAAATTTTTTTTCCCTCACGTTTTAGTGTCTCCGAAATCAGGTTGTCTTTGAGTTGGTGGTGTTTTGTAATTAATTGGCAGCATATTCCTTGTCTTAGGGGTTTGGAAATTGGTGGCGCATTTTATTTTATTTTTTTTTAAAGATTTTATTTATTTATTTGACAGAGAGAGACACAGCGAGAGAGGGAACACAAGCAGGGGGAATGGGAGAGGGAGAAGCAGGCTTCCCGCCGAGCAGGGAGCCCGATGTGGGGCTCGATCCCAGAACCCTGGGATCGTGACCTGAGCCGAAGGCAGACGCTTAACGACTGAGCCACCCAGGCGCCCCTGGTGGTGCATTTTAAATGACACCACCTTAGGCTTGCTGAAATAAGGAGAGATGGCACGAGGCACTCTTTGGTAGGAAAGTCCTACGAGGTTGACCATCTTGGAAGGTGCAAGAGTTGAGAAGTTGTCTTGACATAGAGCACCTGGCATCACTGCCTCCGAAATCCCTGGCTTGTTCGTGTGGGGTGTGAGGGACAGAGCAATAGAGGGCTGTGCTCCGGGTTTTCCCAGCTGGAAGGGGGCTGTGTAGTTCCAGTTTGTTGTTTAGAAATCCAGATGAGTCCGAAGCACGGTTCCCGTTAGGAGGTCAGCTCGGGCACTCATGACTTTCAGTTCCCATGATCCTCAGAAACGACGTGGGTCTCCTCGAATGCCAGCAACAAAAACAGCCAACTTTTCTAAAACCCCATTCCACCCCCTCCCCCACCCCTGTACCTGTTATGTCCATTTTTCTGGGATCGCAAACTTTTGTGCATTCTGTAAAACCAGGACTTTGCTTTTAGTCACCATGGTAAGCTAATGCCGTGGTAAGCTAAATGTCGGTTTACACGGACAAGGGGACTCGGCAGACATGAAGTAGTTAGGGATCGTGAGATGGGGGCTGGTTCTGGATCACCTGGGTGGGCCTGGTGGTGGGATCACAAAGTACCGATGAGAGGGAGGCAGGAGATTCGACCACAGAAGAGGGGGAGGCGATGCGGCCACAGAAGCAGAGACTGGGGCGACCGGGGCACAAGCCACTCTAAGCAGCCGGAGGAGAGGGGACGCAGGTTGTGCCGAGAGCCTGCACCATCGCCAGCCCTGCCCGTCACCTTGACTTCAGCCCAGTGCAACTGAGCTCTGGGATTCTGACCTTTTGAACTGTTACGATAACGAATTCGTGTTGTTTGAAGCCACTAAGCTGCGGGGTAATTTGTCAGGGCAGCCATCTGGAACATATTAATACAGTCCCCTTCTTCCTCTTGGGGCAGTTGGTGAATGATTGGCTAGTCGGGGAGGTTTAGCAGCACTCTCCTGCCATTTTCTGTTACTCTTGTTTCTGAGTGTCGGGCAATAACCTGGACACAAAGTCCACAGCCGTTGCTTCTTGGAGTGTCTTTTAAGACTTGCTTTAAGATTCCCACCCTCTGTTATGCAAACATATAATCCCTTCGGGTGGTGGGCAGAACCTGCCGATATGGTGGGACATCTTTCCCGTAATCAGGTTGTTAATAAATTGACTTCAAGTTTAATCAAAGGAGGGATCGGGTGGTCCTGACCTAATCAGGCGAGCCCTCCTTGAGAAAGTGAAACCAGAGGGTGGCCCCTATGGAGAGGGGGTCTCGTGGCTGGGATTGAGAGTGGGCTCTAGGAGCTAAGAGCTCCAGCCGCGAGGAGCCAAATTCTGGCAACAACCCTGAGCCTCCGATAAGGCCGCAGCTTAGCCTGGATTGCAGCTGAGGCCCCAATAGCGAACCCGATAAAACAAGACCAGACTCATGACCCACGGAAACTGAGATAATAAACTTGGGCTGTTTTCGATGTCTACATTTGCGTTCACTTGTTCTACAAGAGTAGAAAAGGAATGTAGGACCCTGAGCTAGTGTTTTTGTTCAGTGCTTTTGGGGCAGCATCAGCTAGTCCCAGAGCCGGGCCATTAAGTCTTACCAGTGAGGCAGCTTCGGACCTCAGAGGGAAATACT